CTCAAACACTACCTCCACGTTATTCTCAGGTGAACGCAGAGTTAAGACTGCTTACAGGATTGAGCAATATATGCACAGCCTTCGATTGTTTGCTGGACGTTCACACTCTCAGTCCATCAAGATATCACTTGGAAGGTGAACCGTATTTCTTATCAGTAACAGCGCAGTGGTTTTATAGTAACGAATTTAAATGCAAATCTGGTAGTGATTTCTCAAGTTTAAGGGGAGGGACGTTTGGAGGGGGTAATGCAATGTCAAAAGGCGCACTATCACACGTGTGGTCCGGAGGTCGAATTTCTGGTTGGTTCCTGCCCTGACCGAGCAAGCTTTTCATCCTTGCTGGGTGGGTTATTCGGTACTATACTTGTCTAGAAGAATAAAATCACTGACTTGGCTGGTTGCTGTAGATCACAGACCGAATTCGGATCTTAGAGACTTAGGAACCTCAGGGGGCAACTCATTCGGGAGCTTACTCATTAGATAAGGTGCCGATTACAAGATAGGAAACATCCATTTTGTTCCTTCACGTAGGTCTGGAATNTTACCGTCTTTGTTAGCATATTTGCAATATTCAGGAAAACGCCTTAAGACAAATGAAATTTCTGTAAGGTACAATCACATTACCGAACTAACAGTGTTTGCCATTGCCGCAAGGTAATATGGGAATTTCGTCATCGATCGGTCTCAACTGTTCTATTTATCACTGCACATGGAATGTTGCCCGTTGGGCACTCACTTCATAGACTGCGGGCCAAGCGAATGCTTTGGGCAGTATAAAGGTGGCGGTGCCTATGTTAGTGTGTGCAGCCGCTACTCCTGGCGTTTTTCCAACTGGCTTAAGGTCCACCGTTGGGAGGTTTAACTAGAGAATAGGTTTCTTGATTTGGTCAAAATTTCGGCCGTAAAGGCGGAATCGCCCCATTCAAATTCTGACTGCTTGTTTTGGTAACGTGTGCGATGCTCCTTGTCTTGAGCTCTTGGAATTAGTTCGCACAATCATTGTTAATTCAGTTCATACTATTATTTGCTATCCATAATCGCGCAGGCATGTAGCAGCTGTATTGCCTTTGTTTTCTCTTTTGAGTAAGAGCTCGTGTATAGCAGGTAGCATCTTTAGAGCCAAACCCACCTTGAAACCGCGCATTAGTCTCTAATGCGATTACGAAAAAATATTGTAATGAAGGAATTTGTATTTTTAAGGGATACCCGACGCGAAGAAAAGGGGAACTCTTCAAGTAATCCAGCTACTGTCTTCATTTTTTCGCGAACTCACTACAAAAGCATTCGGTAGATTAGGTAGGTTTGATTAAGGCCGGTGAGGCGTGATATTCTGCTATGCACCCTGTGATTTTCCTTCTACTTTTCGTTAGCAAAACACCTAATTTTATTTGTCTTCCGTTTAGCCCTTTTAATTGCGGATCTTAGCTGATGTGGACATTGCAAGCGGGTGTTTCGGTAGTCGAATCAATAAACAAGTGCTGTCTTTGAGATTTACACTTGCGATCGCGAGCATTCTTAGACGGTTCTTCGTGAATGTTTCAAGAAAGGGACCATGAACAATCTAGTCGAAATCAGCTTCTTATCGGCTAACGGAGACAATTACGTTTCAGTACAATAGAGAACAGTGAGGAATTTTTATAAAGCTTCGACTTGTAGATAATAGTAGCCAGGTCATCTTTACATCTGAGTTTTGGTCTCTTCGATAGATTTCCCATCTATTATACTATTGTATTGGGGCTCTCTCAGGTTCAGGGGGATGAGGCCCATTTATATTACTGTTTTTGGCGAGTGGATACCCAACGTGTAGCTTGCCAGGCTCTGACGTTGGGGATGGGTTGACTCCGGGGGCTTGCCAGGCTATCCTGAAGTGGACGAGGGGCTCCGTTTGGAGGCGATCCCAAATCGTTTCTCAGATACTTCCCAGTCACTTCAATGCAAATTTTTGGCTGAGTCGATGGGTAGGATTCCAACTGCACCCTCAGACTCTCCACACACGTATGCGTGGATACGAAAAATTGGAACGTATATCGACCAGCATAGCAAAATCAGGGAGTCCATCCCATGAATCCAGCTGCGTTTCTGGACAAGTACTGGCGACTTCTCGTCGGCGATTGACTCCGCTATCCGCCACCTGGGGACACCCTACGTAGCCTCGTCGCTGGGATCCCTCAGTGAGAGAACCCTCAGTGAATGAGATCCGTAGTCGAGATGGTCAGACTTTTTTACGAAAGCTCTGAACGAAAGGAATTTCGGTTCTCGTGTCCCTGAAGCGAGGTCGATTCACTGGACCACTCTGGCTCGTAACAGGGACGAATGCAGACGTTACTGGCGCCCGTTCGAGGAACTCAATGAACAACGGGACGACAGGTGATGCAGGTAATTATACTATTGAACTGCCAATCCCACAAATTGGAAGGCATGTCGACTGAGTGGTGATAGACTCGACACGATGGGAATGGTCCCTGTGGCGCCATATCCAAACTGATAGCGTCAACAATTGAAGTGTGTTTGTTGCGTTTTGTGAAGTTGATTCAGTTTTCGTTAAGATCACCTGTATCACCTAGTAGTACTGTTGATCATAGGTTTCCTCGATCGGCCAATAACGTCTCCATTCGTCACTGTCGCTAGCAAATAATATCCAGACCACAAAATTCTCTCACAATGAGGGAGTCTAGAGTCAGTGAGCGTTACCTTCTTTTTGAAATATGTTGGGAGAACTGTAAGGTTTTTATCACGATTCCAAATAAGGCTCTTGAAATATGTTTTTGACCAATTTGCAATCATATTGTGTCGATCGAAAATTGCTTCATAAGTGATACCGGTCACAACATCAATTCAATTGTGCTTAACTCTTGGGCTCCGCATTCTAATGCGTCGATCACATCCATGAACGTTCAACCGTAGATGAATTATTTGGTTGGTCGAGAAACTGGCTACAATTTAGTTCTCCTCAATGCACCGTCCATTACGGTGAATGTCCCGGTCCTGGTAGCGGGGCGTCTCTGAGTTCAATGTGATCTGTTGCTCTGTTGATCTTGTTCGAAGTTCCAGAATGATCTGGTGTGAAAATGCCAACATTGCTGACCTCATGCTTCTGCGTCGCACGTGCGTTCTGAATATAACCTTTAGCCTTATGTGCAGAAAATATAGAGATCTGTCCGATCGTATTGAGTTGTAGAGATCAGCGAGTATGCAGGTGAAGTGCTAGACTTGGAAAGACGAGGGGCCCAGAGGTGGCTGGCAACAGGTGCATCGGCAGCGGACAGCGAGCTTCATCGTAGGTCAGAAGCGCTGACGACTGCATTCTTCGAGAAGCTGTTGGCGAGTCTTAAATACGCGAGATGAGATGAGTCATTGATATAGTGAACTAACATTCCCATGCGCGAGGGTTAAAGGCACAGTTCACGATAATTTTGGGTAACCCACATCATGAGGAAAAATGGAAGATAAGATAGAAAATAGTGCGATCAAGACGAAGAAACTGCGTGAATCGATGTTTCCACAGTGAAAAAAGGCTTCGAAAAACCGTTAAAAAGGGGGCTGGACGAGAATGAGACCAAAAAATTGAAGAAGAGTGGCGCATTCGGACGAGCTATACAATGTGTCTTACTGCGTACGTGTGAGTCTTGGTACGATCAACTGACTATGGTGAGCAAAANTAAACAAAAAAAACCCTAGTAACAGCAAAAGTAGCTCACCTTTTTCGGCCTCTAGGAGTAGGAAATAAAATCGCAGCAGCAAAAAGAATAACAGAGGAAAAATGAATGAGAGAAAAACATCGCCTCATCACTCGGCGATCATCTGATTAAGTGTGGGTCTTAGAGTGAATAGTTGCAATCTGTATTATCTCGACACTGGTCTAACGCGACATCGATCGAGGGGCGTAAAAGCCAATTACGACAGCAACAGGGCTTCCATTGTACCCTAAGCGCCGAGAGGGTGGGAGCGAGAGGGTCCCTTCTACCACCATGGGGGCGCTGAGTATCCCTAGAGGAAGAACTCAGTGAACTTTTTTTTATCGAGAACCGTGCCTTTAAGCAATGTTGCACAATGGAGGGAAGGGCGGCTCCCTTCGATCTACACCCCCACTACCGACTAGAACCCTACTCGTCTGATAACATCTCACTTCGCAGACTCTTCCTTCCCTGACAGTCAGCCTTCTCACACACTCTCGCCATTCAGAATACGGTCACTCTTCCACCTGCACTCTTATACCAGCCATCCCATAGGTGTCCTTAATTTTTCATATATAGTGAGTGGTGATGATTTCATAGGTAATAAGTAATGGTGGTGACCTCATGTCTTCTACAGGATATGAATTTTGATCTTCGCTGCGCCCGTCTCAGTTCAAATCCCAACCAATTTGGGAGCTTGACCTCATTGTTACCTCTGGCCACGTTTTTCCGCGTTCTAGAAGGTTTTTGAGCAGAATTATGATTTTTTTTTTGTTCTTAGCTTTGCCCAACTTAGCTCCGCATACCCTACTGTGATCCCCTCTCACTCCAGAGGCCACATTTCTTCTATTACATCTAACAGCTTTCTTCGTTTTCTGGAGCTTTTGAGCATAAATGATTTGTTGATCTTAGCTTTGTCTTCCTAGTGTAAACCCCGCTCTCTTCGGGGTGATCACATTCCTTTCATTGATTCTAACTAACCACTTTTCCTGCGTTTTGGAGCGTTTTGAGCAGGTAATCGGGCTACCCTAACTTAGAACGTCGTCTCAGACTGTTAGAGTGACGAGGGATTGGGATTGTCGACCGAGTGCGAGAACGGCCCGCACAAAGCAGGTGAGTCTCCTTCCTTTCTTTTGTTGACCCGTCCATCACCTTGCCCTTTTTCTCAGCATCATCTGACCCGATTTCTTCAGACGAATCTTTGAATAATATCAAATTTCCGTACAAATAAACAAAGAAACATTCACACTCGGGCGCATTACCTGTAGCATTTTGCAGATCCATTTGGTCAATGTTCTTTGAGGTGAAGGCAGAATTTTCAGGAAGATGTCTGCAGGAAACAGTTTCACCAATAAACTTGCTGATGAGAAGTCACCGTATCTTCTGCAGCACCAGCACAACCCAATTGAGTGGTGCGTGATTTTCGAGTGACGTCGTACGCTTAAATCGGCGATTCAATCCACTCAATTTTGATGTTCGCAATTCTTTTTCGTGATTGCTAGCTTTAAATGCAGGTATCCTTGGGGAGCTGAGGCATTCGAGAAGGCGAAGCGGTTGAATCGTCCAATATTCCTTTCAGGTGAATGCTCTATCAATTAAGTGCTCATTCCCACCTCGGTTTACTGCTTTTAGTTGGTTACTCGACATGCCATTGGTGTCATGTAATGGAAAAGGAATCATTCGAGAATGAAGAAATCGCTCGCCAGTTGAACAGCGCTTTCGTGTCTATAAAGGTATCGCAATACATCGTTTTCTCCGCTTGAGATATTGACATGTGGTCAAATGAAAGGAACGAGACTCACCTGCGGTTGCGAACCGTTCTCGCGCTCGGTCGACAATCCCAATCCCTCGTCACCCTAACAGTCTAAGGCGACGTTTAGGTTAGGGTAGTCCGATTATCTGTTCAAAAAGGGAGCAGAAACGCGGAAAAAGTGGTTAGAGGTAATAGAAGAGATGTGACCTTTGGAGTGGGAAGGAATCACACTAGGGTATGCTGAGCTAAGTTGGGCAAAGCTAAGAACAAAAAAATCACAACTCTGCTCAAAAACCTTCTAGAACGCGGGAAAACGTGGTCAGAGGTAACAATGTGGTCAAACCCCTAAATTGGTCGAGGTTTGAACTGAGGCGAGCGCAGCGAGGATCAAAATTCATATCTTGTAGAAGTAGGAAATGCTATGGAGTTATTTGACGTGGCCTCGCTACCCTTACGATACATAAGGCGCTCGCATCAGTTTTTTTGAAATTCGATATTGTCCGAACAAGCATCTGAAGAATTGGCATCTTTCATAGTCCACGACCGGTCGCGCGACCAGTCGCGCGACTGATCGCGCGGGACCGTCCGCGGCGGCACCCATAACTAGCGCGGCCTCCTCGACCGATCGAGCGACCAGTGGCGCGATCAGTCNAGGGGGGGGGGGGGGGGGGGGGGGGGAGGGGACAACCACCAGAGATTCACGATAAAGACTCAGTTCACGATAAAAGTGGCTGCTGAAATTTGCCGCGAGAATAAAACCGTGGCCCCCAAGAACAGTACATGGGCCGTTGTCATGCCAAAAAATGGTCTAGGCATGGCGTAGCAAGGGCTTCAAAACAGGTTCAGCCAACGCAGACATTCAAAGTGGCCGTGTTATGCGAGCCTTGTTGTTACTGCCCTGCTCACAGAGCAAGACGAATGTACGCTTGAATGAATGACACCCAGACGGCAACCTCGTACAAACTCTTCCTGGCTAGTTTTTTGAAATCTTGTATTTTATCCAACAATTTTCGCCCCTATTTCGCCACCGTTGCCCTTTTTTGCGCCATGGCTTCCATTATTGCACTTGAAATAGATACTTCAGAATCAATCGACAGAGGGTCTTCAACAGCCCAAAAGTAGAGAGGAATGAGCAAACATGAGAAATAAGACAACAAAGGAAATAAATGAGACCCGCCGACGGTGGGCGAGCGTTCTCTCAGTGAACGGTACTTCCCACATAAGTTCGTNCTTGAAATAGATACTTCAGAATCAATCGACAGAGGGTCTTCAACAGCCCAAAAGTGGAGAGGAATGAGCAAACATGAGAAATAAGACAACAAAGGAAATGAATGAGACCCGCCGACGGTGGGCGAGCGTTCTCTCAGTGAATGGTACTTCCCACATAAGTTCGTAAGTCGATTAAACGAAGGCATGGAGGCATGGAAGAAAGGCACTAGTGTCAAAGGTCACAAAATTATAACCTCTGTTAAGACAGACTATAATCGACTTTCTCTCATTCCTGGCGTGAGTTTGAACTTTAGGGTGTACCAGGTTTAGCCTCCAAGATTTTCAATTTTAATGGCTGACGTTTTTCCGCTCCGCCAGGTGAACCCCCAAACCCGTCAGAAGTGCTTCGAGGCTAACCTTGATATAAGTCGCCGGAGCGCTAGATCGGCCACCTAGAAATAACTTCTGCGTACAATGAGCATTTCTATCTCCTTCCTGATCATTATATTGATCTATGTCGCTTTAAAATGTTACCGTAAGCCAGTCGCAACTCTCTACATTCTCATTCACTAGTGCTAGGCCCATCCATCAGAACAAAACAGTCCGNCATGCCAGCAAGAACTCAAATTAAGTCGCAGTTTTTTAGTAATAGAGTTATGTCTACTTTTAATTCTCTTTTACGTCGAAATCTCATCCCCTTTAGTTATAGCACTTTCAAGAAATCTATTAATAAGTTGATTTGATGTAGTTACGTTTAGTTGAGAAATGGTCATTATTGTCAACTTTTATTTCACATGCTTATGCATAGCATGTCCGTAAATAAATAAATAATAAATCTATGTCGCTTTAAAATATTACCGTAAGCCAGTCGCAACTCTCTACATTCTCATTCACTAGTGCTAGGCCCATCCATCAGAACAAAACAGTCCGTTATCAGCAATATGTTCAGAGTTGCAAGTAAAGTCTTCTCTCATACTGATTTCGTGACAGAATCGCTGGGCATGGCTTGTACGGTTGCATGGTCTAATGGGTATCCTGGCTGCCACCGGGGAACATAATGTGGAGAGTATTTCTCACCTTGTAAAATTGGTGAACAGCACCTGTTAACAAGGTTACATTTTGTTTACCGTTCATCTCCGAAGGAATGAGCACAGTAATTCGAGCAAGTTAGACCAAGTGTGATTTCCAGGAAAAAGTCAGGGCTGTGTAATTAAAATTGGTCAGGGTTGGAATTTAAATTTTGGCATAATCAATCTCGTTTCGGAATGCACCAGGCATTCGACTTCCACTCGGAATAATCGAGGCTTCGAATGAGTAGCCTTTGGTCTTTGGTGGCTTTAAATAGTGCCAGCCCTATTCACGTCAGTGCTTTTATTCTTCCAGACGTGTTTGGTGAAAGGTAAGAGACCCGAAAGAACAAAAGGTTTGGGAGACCATCCGTTCCGCGCGTCCGTTGTAACTAGGTCACCTCGCCCACTTCGCGTGCGGCCCAGCCCACTGCGTTCTCGAGGTGACATTACGGTTCCACCCAGTGTCAGTGGAGCGAATGATTTGTATTAGTCCAGGTTATCTTTACTCTAGGTTGATCGCCGTGACTCAAGCGCCAGTCGCATGCCTCACTAACAAGTGCGACGTCTGTCAAAAATTGCGGGCTGACGCGCCGCGTGCGACGGTAGCGACGTGATCTAGTTTTGACGACTCGCGCAACGATGCGTACCCAAGGTTTGGTCAGCCTGGGAAGTAATTATCCGGGATTCGATCCTCACACCATGCGTGTGTGATAGTGCTCCGCTTGCAGCTGCACCACGTCCCCTACTGTAAGACAGTGGACGACTTGAGCTAAAGACTTGAGAAGAACGCTGCAATGTTCTACCATATAGGTATTTAGAGTGTTCTGTCTTTTTCTGATAGATTCGCATGTCAAAATAGAGAAAAAGCTGATCATACATGAGCGATTCCAGGAAAAACCTTTATTCTGATTCAATTAGCACTAAATCAATAAGACACTATGAGATTTATTATAGGTTGATCGAGAAGAGCGCCCTGATGTGGACAAGCTTTACATGGCCTTCATCCAGGTGACTTTTATTGCTATATTTGTATGTCATAGTTCACCTAAACATATGGACATGGTTTTAAAAATATTGATCACTTTCTTGTATAACTCGTAGTGATAACTCAGCAGAAGGTTCACGAGTACTTCAATGGTGTATCTTCTAGCAAATCCGCTTACTTAGGAGCCCAAAAGGATGAAATCAGGTTCCGAGATAAAGTTAATCATCAGGCAGTACTGGGCAAACAAAACCGTAAATGTCTGAATAATCGGCCCTCTTGAATGATAGTAGAATCGGCCACCCGAAGTTCAAAGGCTGCAATTCGAGGCAGCCTTGTAGAATGATCAGTTTGCGCGTTATTGACGCGCATTCTTCTTTTTGGTTCATTTAGTCAAACCAATAAAACCATTTCAATATCGATGTTGAGGTTAACTGAAAGCCGCCTGTCGGGAATCTGATAAATATAATAGTTTAATGTTGTGTGAGCTGAAGGGAAGGGATGGAAAGCGCAAATGAGCATCCAGATGAAGATACAGGTGAGAAGTTGAACTTAGCACATATGAAAATATTAATTCAAGGGATTGAGAGCGTATGAAAGCGTTCGAAGCTGGAGTTGAAGTAGACAGAAATTCATCGTTGCATGCGTAGCATTGAAGGTTTGACTACCCTGAGTAAGAATTTTCATGCAAGCTTGTACGTATGGATGGTAACTCTCGGATATGGTGTAATGATGTTTTCAAGGGAGTTGTTTATGCCCAGGTGATAATTAACCCATTGACGACAATGCAGCATATTTGGACTGCACTTTTTCGGCCATGTGCGACCGTGCAGTCTACATGTGGACTGCAATTGTATTTTTTGTTTTATTCATCTATATTTCCACATTTTTACAATTTTTTTTCTCAAACATCACTTCAGGCCTAAATGAAACTACATAAAGCGTGGTTCTGGAAAATCTTCCAAATTTGCAATTGTAAAGATGTCTTTTCGAAGGAGTATATCACCTTGGTGTATTCTTCGTTCGTTGAACAACTTCAAAAAATGAGATACTTTGAGAAGACGATCGTCATCAGCATTTTCGCTGTTATCGACCGAATGCAAAGCTCGTAAAACTCGTAAAAGTTCCCGAAACGGAATTCTGGTAATGACTGAAGTTATAATTGAATGACCAGGCTCAGACTAGGTGCCGGTTCTATAACAAAGACCAATAATAGTCACTCAATTTGGGCATTCTTATCAAACCCATCTGAGGGAGTACTCCGGAAAACTTNTAAACTTCAAAAAGTGGTCATGTTGGACCATTCTTAGTCCAGTCCACATGTGGGCTGCAGTCGCGAGTGGACGAAAAGCGTGCCGGTCCCTCGCGTCCCTTTCCCCGCCAAACTTGGTGGTCGTCAATGGGTCAGAAAAAAATGATTTTCATCTTGTAATCACAAGGTTTCATTTTAATATTTATATAGTTGAGGATGGGTGTCAATTTCCCATGGAACATTGAATGGAGACCTAGATAGAGTTTGGACACAGCTTGTCAAGCTAAAATGTCCAAGTGATATGCTATGAAAAGTTTTGTGCCCTCGAAATTTGCACGGGGATTGTCTCAGTTAATGTACGCAGCTGTTCAACCAGCAGCAAGGAAGAGCCCTAGCTTTGCGACGAGCTTGCTTTTGTGTAAGCTACTGCGTATAACAGCTGAAACTATACCAAAGCTAATTTTGATGGTTCTTTTTGGAAACTCATTAGGGACCAAATTTAATTTCTGACCTAGTGAATAGCATTCTAAAATCTATCTATGGCTAGAACTTCATAAAATCTCCTCGAAAGTGTGGAACCCTAATGAGCTAGCAAAATTCAATCTGTCAAGAAGTTTTTGCTCAAGCAATAGTTTTGATTTCTCTATTACTATGATCCTTGATTAAGTATGATAGGTAATCTTGGGGTGTCCGGAAAGTTATGAGGAAATTTTGCATGGTCGTTCGAAGTAAGAAATCGTAGACCGGAGGATGTGCCGCGACTTGGTGCGACTACCGGAGCTTTCTGCTTCTCCATTACGAAACTGATCGTTTTGCTTATTGGATCTACTCAGGATTGGAATGAGATGTGGTGACTGATTGGCAGCAAGCACGCTCTCTTGCCACCTATCATAAATAGCACGTTCACTCCTTTTGAGAAGAGATTTGCTTTGACGAAGTTTGTCGAAGCGAAGGCCCACTGTCTTGAACTACGGACACTGTTCTGGCCTCCCGTCGGAGCAATCCTTCTCAAAGCCTCATAAAATGGGGAAGACGAATTCTACTCTTCAATCCATCATCCACAACGTTCTACGCGAAGGTGGCTTACAAAGCTGGACTCTTTGCAAATATCGCACACTCCGTGTCTGAGCAGAGCGTCGAGTGTGAATCAGTTTGTTTTAGAAGCCCGTCTACAGTAAGCGAACAGTGACATCAACCGGGTTCATTATTGCTCAGAATAAGAATTAGGTGTCAAACGAGAATCCACATAGGAAAGCGCAATGCCCACTAGTGGCGCAAGGCCACAACTCGCTACAAAGCGAGGAGACGTGCCAAAATCTGCTCAACCGGGTCTCCTACTTGGAGATCTTACCACAGTGCACTGCGGTAATCGCAAAAGTATTATGTCACTGACTAGTAGAGATGGTGTTTCGATTACAAGGGGATCTTCGATTGTGACGGATAATGCTCGACCACCCGACGCTAGAACGTCGAAGGATAAGCTGGATAGACTTGGCGTAACCTGGCTACTCCGATCCTCGCATAATCATCTGACTTAACCCATATGACTGCCATACTTTCAGAAGCCAATAGGCCTGCTCAACAGGGAAAAATTAATTTCACTAGCTGTCGAGAAATCAAGTATTTGGTAGATGAATGAATTGTGTCACGCCTCTCTTCATATTGGAGGAATGACGTCAGTGCCTGCCCCGGTTGATGGATAGACATTGACTGAGAAGGACCACTGTCTTGATCGCTGATCCAACTTTATTTCTGTGGTTATCGTGTTGAAAAAACCAACTGAATTTTTTCGAAACTTCCCGGACACCCTAATATAGAATCATGAATAGCAGGAGTTGGAAGTTGAAGAGAGAAAAAGTTCAGCTAAACGAATAAAAATGTCAGAAAACGTAATATAACGACGAGAATTGCAAAACTTAACAGACAGTTTCGAGGCTAAGTGCCCGGCGTGATTGGATTTTTGGTCATGAACGCATTCTGTATGGGACAATAGCGTGCATCTCTGAGGAAGCTCGGCAACAGGTGTATAAGTTCCGGAATTTTTAAGGCAACTACTGGATCTGGTGGCTGGCCGATGACTGTGTTTCTCACTCCTGAGTTGGACCCAATTACGGGTGGAACCTATTTTCCACCGCGTGACTCGTCTGGAAGTTTGGGACTGCCTTCCGTTCTCAGAATTGTCTCCGAAAATGTAAGTGGATCATTTACGACCATGTGCATACCTTTTGGCAAGTACTCACCTATCTCAAATGTTAACGCAAATGTTTACTGCTAATATGAAGNTGAACTTCATGCTTAATTCCCTGGATGATCATTTCATATGAGTTCTTGGTTTAGTGGAACAGCGAAAGCGTGCGAAATGCTATTGGAGAGCAGGGTCAGAAGATCACCAGTGCGCTGAGAAAGGGTCAGTTTGGTGTGCAGCTTCCGTTCTTGCGTTCTACATATGTAGCTTTTCCATAATTCGTTTCGTTCAGGTGCCCTCTATGCATCTGGTGAAAGTCCTCCATTCGACACAGTGACGAATGGGGCCTTTCAGTATAAGTTGTCAAGCTTCGATGAAATCAATGGTGGATTCGGACTTGCCCCTAAGTTTCCGAAGGCATGTGAGTTATTGAACATGGGTTTCTTTTTGTATGTTGTGTTCTTTTCTTCACTATACTCACTATTTCTGGAAAGAGCCTGGCACAATCCTTATAGTCGTTAGGTGCACTGCTTAACAGATTGTATGTAAAAATAAATGCAGCCCTCAAATCGCCGTTTTTGTGTTTAGGTGATCTAGAGTTTCTTATCAACCATTTCTGCTGGACAAAGCAAGAATCGGAACGAGAAGTTTGTCGTCATATGCTAGAAATCACGCTGGACGGAATGAACAGAGGCGGAATCCATGATCATATTGGAAAGGTGTGTTAGTTGTCAGCAATTAATGACGTATCATTGAGTTTCCTGTTGAACTACAAACACATGAGCGTAGTAGCTTCATGGAGGACTCAGTCGGTAGTGCCTACATTGGGAGCTAAATGTTGATGCTGTAATGAAAAGCTGAATAATTCTTATCCTTTTCCTGTTTAGGGTTTTCACCGTTATTCGGTGGACGAGGAATGGCATGTGCCTCATTTTGAAAAAATGCTGTATGATCAAACACAACTGCTAGGCGTGTACGCAGATTACTGTAGAGTTTTCGGGAGCAAGTTCCATTCTACAGTAAAGGATATCGCTGGCTACATGGAAGAATGCTTATCACACGAGGTAACTGGCTCCTTATCCAGATTTTTGCTCAATTATTACAGTCTTGGTGTAAATTTTTCGAATCCGCATGATAATCCAGCGCTGACTGCACCACTGCAGTACAGCATTTTTTCCTGCAATTCTATGAATCTGTCTTTCTCACAATGAAATCGAACTGCTCCAGGAAGGTGGATTCTTCGCAGCTGAAGACGCGGACTCTCTGCCATCACTCGAATCTGCAGAGAAAAGAGAAGGAGCATTTTGCGTGTGGGAGATGTCAGAAGTGAGTTCAGCAGTCATGGATATCACATTCCTTTGTGTTGAGTTGAGAATCAGTTGAAGCTTTGTATTTTCAGATTAAAGAGTTGTTGAAGGATCTCAAAATTGGGGACAAGCAAGCTGTAGACATTCTTTGCCATTACTACGATATTCATGAGAAGGGAAACGTGAGCCCACACAAGGTGAGATTAACATACAGCTGTCTTTGATAATTTATTGATCTAGCTGGAAGTATCGAAAAAAACTTTGAAACTACACCAAAATCTGCAACTCAAAACAAAGATTTACAGAAAATTCATCTAAATGCTCTGCTTGATTTCAAAACTTTTCAAGGTAGAGCTTAACTCTGCATTCAGCCGTGCAATTCGAAGACTAAGGCTTCGAAGCGTTCGAACAGCTACGCGTCCTCGTTATGGAGAATATAAATCTAGGTCAAGAATATTCGAATTATCCTATGAATACCTACAAAGCACAGGTGGAAACCTCAAACAGTAGGCGCTTACTTTCGCTGAATCGTACCAATCGTCTTGTCATTAGCGTTGTCTCCTGAAGTCAATAGTCGTTCGAGAAGTCCAAGCTGGGGGCTAAGCGTTTTTTGAAGACTGTTCTGTGTGCAGCCATGTTGAGAAATTTCGGCATTTCTACACCAGTTTAGCAATGCTAGCTCACCACTTATTAGTCCTGTTGCTCAATGACTACGAGCGTCGAAGACTCAGTTTGTAAAAAGTCGTACTTTTGGCCTACGGTTCTTTCCCCAGAGATGAGCAGATATTCTATTGTAATGGCTAGCTTTTTCGAAGCTGGATAAATGTTGCTTTCAGGACCCGCACAGAGAGTTGCATGGTAAAAATGTTCTTCGAATGAAACGGTCTCACGAGGAGTTCGCCGAAGAGTTTGGTTTGCCAGCTGATGTATTATCTGCTGGAATTGACAAAGCCAAGGTTAAATTTCAAAGTTTGTTTCGTGTGTTCAACTTTGTAGTTCAAAGTTCTTGTCATATCAGTGTGGTTTATGTGGTTCGTATGACTCGCTATTCTAAGTGAAAGGGTGCATTTCACAACCATAAACTTTATGGAACGTTTAGTTTTTGTTTCGAAAACGTTTCGAACTGAGTGAAATCCTACCTTTGATCCGCACACGGCAGAAAAAATCATATTTATCATGATTTGGATAGATGGGACTTTGAGTCATCTTTCGCCACTTGGGCTTCGCACGCACACGTGCGTCATACAAAGAGCGGATATGTTATCCATCTCTCAAGTATCTAGTCATGAGCTCTTTGTAAACACTACGCCCATCACGGACGGGCTTCCTTCATCTGAGTTGTTGACCCATTCCTTGTCTTTTTACATTTTCCCAATTTCGAAGCTTTCTAAAACAAATCTATGGAGTTTCTCTCAATCTCATCGACCGTTCTAGTGCATGTTCCTCTGTGAGCAGGTTGCCCCGGAGCTTATATGTGCTCTATTGATCTTGCTTCAGATCTCCAAAAAAGTGAAAACGGAGCTTGGACGAGATTACTATAACGGAAGTAACACGGAAAGGGAGCCGGTCGTTTGGCGCGATGGGCGGGGTCGCCCCGCCCATTTGAGGCGGCGCGACTCCGCCCATCGCGCCGTTCAACTCGTTCNGAAGATTACGCGATCTGAACGAGTTGAACGGTGCGATGGGCGGAGTCGCGCCAAACGACATACACCCACATGGAAAAGGTATTTGGACGAGATTCCAGTTGTTGCAATTGCGCAAAGAGCTGACTACATCAAGCCAGAACTGTACAGGACTGCCTTCCGCTTTCGCTGTGGGCTATGACTGTTGTTTGAACTTCCTACGTGGGTTCCCTCGTGATTGGTGCAGCCTCCACAGTGCCGGTGTAACTCGTCCGAGGATACACCCATGCAATCTTTGAGCCTTTTTAACGCACTGAGTAGGCCGTTTTCCTACCTGAGGGGTGTGCGTACATTCATACAATCCGAGCTGCGTGCGGCGAAATTCATAGCGATTTTGATGACTTTAGCGCCTAGTATTGGGGCTCAAATTGAAGTATAATAAATTAGTATGGCCGTCCGATCCAACAAGTCTACGTCACTTCAAGATCTTGCCGCAATAATAGGCGCCGGAGTCGCTCGAATGGCCACGTCTTCCGCCGCTAAATTTGCCGCGCGCAGCTCTCGCACGAATGTACCGTCCCCCGGTCTTCCCAGTCGATCATTGATCACCTGCTTCCTGCAAGCGTTGAATTTTCGTAGTTGATTTACCCTGCCTATGGGTGGTGACATGTAAGCATGGTAGAGGTAGATCAAGTAACGAGATTTGCTTAACATGCAACGGACGACAAATCCGCTCATGTTTATGTTGCTCAGGTTCGGTAGTGATAGTCACTGTGCGAGTAAGGAATTGACAATTTCTGCTAATTAAAATTTCGGATCAAAGCAAACAAAAAAACTAGGATCTTGAGGATTGTAATTTCAGTATGAACCTTTTTCGCTTTGAATGTCCTATGCTGATTGAGTTTTAACCAAAATAGTTTTTCTGTGAGCGTTGTTACTGTAGCTGTTACGCCACCTCAGGAAAGCGGTTGATTCATGCGTTTACTATGAGGTGAATGCGATGAAGAGTAGAATAAAGTGACTATATCACTCTTGTAAGCTCGTCTGATTGGTTTGATCGGTCTTCTAACTGTTTGCGGATAAGGCCTTGAAATGAAATGGAAAATTTTTGCGCAGCGTTCTCCATTTTTCAGTAGTTTCACGTCCATTGACCCGAATACTCGACTAATACAAATTCCTATTGAAACCCTTCAAATCATGTATGATTATCAATGCTCATGAAGCTTTTTTTGATTGTAGGAACCATTAGCTACTACCTCGTCTGATTGAGTAATTGGGAATGCTTCAAGATTACTAACATTTTCTGTGGTCAATGTGTTTATCGTGAAGTTTTCAGTCAATATTGGCTGAAGCACGTGCTCGACGACCTCCACCTCACTTGGACACGAAGATAATTTGCGCTTGGCAGGGACTGGCCATCAGCGGACTGGCAAAGGTATGGCATATCGGCACACTTATTAGTGAAGGTAAAATTTCAATTGTGATTTCGATTGGCACAAGATAGGAGAATCAAGTAGATAGTCCAATCCCAATCGACTTAGGGATAGAAGCAGGCTTGGGTACTGCTACCTTTGTGACCATTTGTACAGTGTCGCGAATCAAAAGCTGCGCGAAGCGCTAGAGCTTCCCATTCCGCAAATTTAGCTAGTCTGTGAGGATGATAAAATACTGGTCTATATGTTTTGCTTAGCGTTGTTCGAGGGCTAAACCGTTGTTATGCTGTTTTGAGTAGAAGTCGAATACGAAAACGTAGACTAATTAGAAAGGATCAGTAGTTTAGGAGTTTTCGAGAAGATTGCCGAGCGATTTTATGACTTAAATGGTGAATTCTTTTATCCCATTCTTCGTACTTTTCTGGAAAGGGGCGATAGTTTGCCTAGCAGTGAAGTATTGCAAAGTAATGGCAGAGGGAATGAGCAAGAAGTTGGATCTACAGAATTTATGTAATTTTTTCGGATTCATCGAAGGTTATTTGATCATCACTACCGTTTCAACTTACTTTTTACTGCCACAGCTACCACTGCTTGCGATGAGTTCCATATTACTATAATACATTGCAGCTCATTACTCGGGAAGCCTTGCTGACGCGCAGTCATGCCAACAAACACACAGAGCATCCCAATATAACGGACGCCTAAGTTTCAAAAGTTTACTAGGCGAAAGTAGTTGGTTAACTCATTTCCCTCTCTAATACTCCTGCTGGGGACTCCCAACGTGTCATGTAGGCGAAAGCTTATCCCATGCGATTTGCCATCATTGCATCCTCGGGCGGGGGCGGCAACCAAGATCATAGTAAAATTTCTTGTGACTCCAATAAAAACCGTAAAGAAGTCCGTAGAACGACATACGGGAGCAGGATCTTTAATATACAGGCCTGGATAGAATATATAGGCAGTTGTTGACAAGAATGGAACCAAAGAAACATTTGTAAGCGGGGCGTGATCCTTGGCGACCCATCAGAAGGANGGCACGAGTGGTGGTAGAAGGGGCACCGTTGATGGAGCGGATTGTTAACAGGAGACTTTTTGACGCTGCTATCTATGCAGAAGTGCCACTTCATTTCCGAAGCCAACACGCAGCACAGGTGGAATCAAAAAATGCAGAAGATTGCTGACCTGCTTCGGTGCATACACACAGCCCTCCGTCGTTTTTTGTGACGAGAAGTTTTTACACGGAAGAGCTAGTCCTCAGAATGAGCCTTTTATGTCCATAGAAAGTGCTATTTCACGGGACCAGCGAAGCCGGCATCCGTGATGCTTCGTGATGCCATGGACGCTTTGGGGAGGAGATACATAGTGATGGACGTACTGATGCCTTGGTGCGACTCCCCTTAAGAAGTACTCCGTGGTGCTACCAGCAAGACCCTTTGCGCTGACTTCAGGCTTTAGCCCACAGAGCTCAGTTCTCCAAAAATTACGTCGGCTCGAGCTGCTGGCTTCATTAGCGCCAAGAAATAGCCATCGCGCTCGCCGATCTAAAAAACGCAGTTCACGATATTTCGGAGTGCTTACAATTAGTCTGAGACGAACAATGGACGTTGGCTCATTATAGTGCAAAAATGCGAGGAAAACGCGAAAATAGGCGTATTTGGAGGACTATAGGGCTTGAACGATTGGTAAAATTAGGGGTCGGAAGAGTATGTTAACACAAAAGTTGCATGGAAGGGGTATTCAGGCGATCTGTCCAAATGTGTGTGCCATTTCGTACAGATAGCTACACAAATTGCATGCGTGCAACGTGTGCGTTTCGGCGCGAACAGTGCAAACTCTACAACATTTGCAGTACTGTGAGAAAACGCCTGCCTTGTATACGTGCGGCGGCAATAGTAATGTCTTCTACCCGAAAATCGCGTCGCGCTCACCGCACCCGATCGCGTGCTTTGAAGAGTAATGTTTGAATTTGCATTGTCAGGTTACGGCAGCCGCCGCGGAAGAAAGCCGCTTACCATGGGAGTTTGCGGAGAAGTACCGCTACCCCTGGTCATCTAGGCCGGATTTGGGACCCTTAATATCGCCTGATCTGGACTGTTGGTCGACCCGGCAGCGTCCCTTGTGCCATACTTGGAAGCCCCAAGTTCATCCTAGAGAAAAGTCTTAGAAAGC